AACTGGCACGGGCTGCAGATGCAGCGCTTGTCTGTCGTCCTCCACACCGCCGTGGCGTGGCACACGGTGAACGAGCTAGCGTGCGGGGAGAGCGGCATTGTGCATGGTGCGGAGTGCATTGCCGTTCTTAACGGAGTCGCTTAGGCGGCTCCGGTGGTGAGCCTGTGTGTGTGCCAGTCCGCGCCAGTCTGCGCCCTTGTTGTGCCAGTGTGCTGTGAGAGAGGCTTGTATCTTAAGAATTCTTTTTCCCCGATTCTCTGAAGGACCTGGACGTGCCCCATATTGGGGGCCCGCCGGCATTACCCCGCCCGAGACGCCGGTCTCGGACGCTGCCGGCGCGCCCCACCCTTTCAATCTTTTAGATGAGGCCACGGGTTCTAAGGCGGGCGAGGCGGCTGCTGAGGCGTTGGCGGAGGCGGCGGTCGACGCTGTCTACGGGGCGCTCGTAGCGGCGACGCTCGAGGAGTGGGCGGGCGCGAGCACGGACAACCCCGTCTCCGCGGAGGACGCTCGAGGCCCAGGCCTCGAGTGTCAGGATTGCTTTGGGCGCTTTTACGACGAGTTTGGCGTGGAGCCGTGGCTGTGGCGCCGGGCGTTGCGTGAGGGCTGGTCGGAGCTGGGGGGCTGGTCGAGAGAGGAGATGGAGGCGGCGGAGAAGGAGATCTGGCGCGGCGAGAGTTCTGAGATCTCTCAGCTAGGCGAGTGGGTCTGCGATGCTTGCTTGGAGGGCTATTTGGGGGGGGGCGTTGGCGACTACTCGGAGCTGCGCAGCGGCTACGTTGCGCCGTATCCGAGTAACCCCTGGATAGGTCGCTCGCGCGACCTCTCCTGGATGCGCAAGGGGCCCATAGGGGTCACGCGGAGGGAGGCGCTGTTAGCGGCGGAGGAGGCGAAGGCGGCCGCGCGGGCGGCGGAGAAGGCGGCGCGGGCAGCGGAGGGGGGGAAGGGCGGCGGCAGCGGGCGGCAGTCCCGCGAGGCACGCCGGCGGAAGGGTTCGTCTTCGCGGGGCGGGGTGCGCACTGCGCGCCGCGAGGATGAGGAGCCTGAGCCAGGGGAGGGTTGGGAAGGGGGGGCGAGGCCGGAGGAGTATGACGGCCTCTTCGACGGCCCATAAGGGGCCGTTGTCTGCTGTGCCTTTTGTGGTGCTAGTTCGTGCCAGTCTGCTGTGAGAGGGGCTTGTATTCGTAGAATTCTCTGAAGGACCTCCACTTCGCACACCTGTCGCGCACCCATGTCCATGTTGCACGCGCACCCCCAGACGACGCGGGACGACTCACCCTGGCCGGACGCGTACTCGTCGTACCTCTCACCCTGGCCGGACGCACTCGTTACCAGTCGGGGGGCTTGGGCGACAACCGCCGCAACTGCAGCGTCGGCGGACAACGGCAATACCGCGCAGCAGCAGACAGAGATGTTTGGGTC